ATAATGGTATTTACAACTAGCCCATAGCTATGCATATTCCCTTCTCCTCCCGGCCCTTTTCACCTGTATACTACTCAGGCAAACATGTTCCCCACACCCCAACCATCTACTTCCTGTCTCACCCACTTCCTCCCACCCTCTCTTCTCCATTAGTCAACCTTCTTGCCTCCATATATACGATGACCTTGTACTTAGAACAATGTGTCAGACCATGAACCAATACTACGTAGTGTGATGTTCGACTCACCACTGCGAACCACTGCATGTCAACTGTGCCTTGGATTAACCAATGTTTTACATGAAAGAAATCTCTAAGGAAGTTGGTTTGTCAGAAGCAGAGAACCAAATTATTGGGTTAGAGTACTTACGACGGTGACTTACCCTTAAGTTACAAAAAGCAAGTAATCAACATAATGGTGGTTACACAACAAGCAAACACTCACTTTATAGATATCAGATAGTATAAGACCCATGCTACATCAGAGACGGTGGTGTGCAGGTGATGTTAGCGCAGTTGTTGTTGTGGTTGAGCGGAGAGATGCGTCGTCACGTGAGTTCAATGGTTCGAACAATATCTGTGCACGGGCGCTTAGAACTTAAGCCAAATTTCACCACCAACTTCGTCCCACCAGCAATTCGACGGGTGGGGTGAAATCGATGGATATTTCGACAGGTTCACCTTTTGATTTCCAACTGCTACTTTTTTCCTAAATTCGATGGGGTCTGAAAACGACAGAAAACCCGTTGATTGTCAATATTTGACACTTCTAGTGTTGAATTTCGCCTGATCTAGCTTTCACAGTGAATGCAACACCACAGTAGATGCGAAGACCAGTATTCCTCACTATACCGACCCATTGGCAGCCCTGGAAGTAATAGATTTAGTGTCCATTCAAGTGGTAGTAGGGCGCATATGGAATAGGAAGGGATGGGCAATCTTAGATCGCAGTGGCGAACTTGTGAGAGCACAACATGTTGTGGAGGTGGCGAAGGCGAAGGCGATATGGAATAAATCGCTGCTAAAATGATGAGTAATATAGCAATGAAAAGTAGTATATAATCAACTGTTTTGTATTATTGATATAAATTCGACGTAACTTAATATTATGTTGGAAATCGACTGTTGAGGTGTGGATTTCAGCGAGACCGAGAAGTCGTGTCATCATAAGGCGGAGCGCCGAAATCGACACCTCCGGTTTTCGACGTCATATGTGTCGAATGGCGAAAATCCCCTTACACCATGCGGGATTTCGACGTCTCTAGGGTTCACAGTGTTCCCGCGAGAGCTGATTTTTTCCCCAGATGATAGCGACGCGAGTATGTCAGTGGGTAAAGCTTTTAATCCAGGGAAATGGTGCTAGATTATTATATATATTCACACCCTGGTACAAGAAGTTATTAGTCAATGAGCATCAATGGTAGGGTGTCAACGTGACCTGCCACTGCTGGTGCACTGCGTTAACAAAGTAAGCAATGTAAGTTCCTTTTTCTACGCAGATAACGAATTTCCAAAGGCAATTGATATAGGCACGTTCTGAAATAGAAGACACCGCGTTGACAAATCACGACAAGACAACGAGCGGGGAAGCAACTCTTACTTATTGAGCATACATAAACCATTCCACGGTGTTTTGCAGGCATAAAGGTTCTATGCAGATTAAGGCAAGTTGGTTTATCCATTGTCTACTTATACTCATTTCCGGCCCGGCGCGGAATGCACGGCAGCAATGAAATTGAGAGCGAAACTTAGTCATTGGAGAAGAAGTACAGCGGTTCCATATGAACTATTACAGCTATTGAACTTTCTTACCCCATGAATCAGATACGCTAAAAATCGAAGGAACGCTAGCCCAAATCCTTTCCCGTTCTTTTACACATTTCTGGCGTAACTTCTGATAACAATCTTCGCAGATGCCGAATTCATTTGGGTATTTCAAGACGAAGCGTAAATCGACCAATGCGGCCAAGAAATCAGATCGTTTGCTGCTGCAATAAGAACGAAGGATAGAGTCTGCTAGAAAGAGGAGTTTTTGAGGAATGACAGTACAATAGAGCGTGTTTTGTGTGGATCATTGAACGTCGATAAATTTGCTGAAAGAAGGTAACAACGCGTCGCGACCCATCAGGAAAGGTACCAGAAGTGTTGACATTCGTGAGAGGACATCGCCAGCTTCTTGAATACCTGTTTCTATCGCGATGCCGTAGAATATGGCTGGTAGGCAGCTTTTGGCTTCAATTTCGAGGAAGGCGAAAACATGTAGTTGCAGTCGCGATTCTCTCATCCTGGGAGCATCGTAGGAAACCATCTGTTCAAGGTATAGATGCATTGTCGGCGTAGAGGTTCGAACATATACTTGGCAGAGATTTTTGCAGTCCCTAAAAAAACTTCTTCATCTCTGATATTTAAGATCCTAAATGAACGACGATGGTGTCAGTAGTGGGATGTTGAAAAAAAACATTGCCACTGACATGTCTCCATAAAGTACTTTTAGGAATGACTCCCAATCTTTCCAGGAGTTTATCGACCGTATAACAGGGCATGCATCAAACATTTCTACGCCTGAAATAGGTGTTGGTGTGCTGAGCATATCGGCGAAAAAGGTGCTATGGATGCGAAGGCCGACATTTCGACAATTAAGTCCACACATCCATCTTCAAAGTAAAGCTGATCGTGTCTACAAAGGTTCTGAGTCTTAACCAGCGGCCTTGCCATGATAGACTTGATAGCGTGGTCCCATCCGATCTTGAAGAGCTCGAGTCAGAAAAGCTTCTGTCAAATAATCTAATAAATGATTTGAGGAACAAAAGTCTTGTATGATGGGTAGACCTCGATTGACGAACGAAGAGGATTGAAGTTGTAGTTGACGTGGATGTTCGTGGGAGAGAAAGACGTAGTTTGGGGCCGTGCAATTGACTTGACTCCTGTCACGAGCGTGGGGTCACGTCCTGGAGGCGCATGGATGAAAGGACGTAAACAAAAGAAAGAAAGAGTCTCAGTGTTATATCACTATCCCTATTAATACATGTAGTATGGTGAATCAGAGAATCAAGCGCATTTAAGTCTAGAAATGACTCGCTACAATGATAGGAAAAAAAGGCATGATTGAAAGAAGACGATATGGCCTCAAAAGATCAATCATGGTAATCGCCGATATTAAACCATCGTGGCAGGTTCTTCCAAATCCGATCTCTCTCCCCATCAATTGTCTGGTCAAGTTTATCGATACATTCGATGCAGAAACCCTTCTTGGATGACCACTTCTTGTAAAACCGATGGAGAACATCGAGAGGATCCGGAGTGTGGAGGTTCTCTTCCTTGTATAAAAGCTGATGTGCGTCTTCGAGGATATCGCCCTAGATCTCGCAACAGCCGAACTGAGCTTCCTCGCGCAATTTAGGGATGAATGAACTGAAAGCCTTTTGAAGATGCTGCCTGCCTGTGAGAAAATTGAGGATATAGTCGGAGGCGGATAGGAGTTTGTAGTATTGCTCCGGAGAGGCATAGGTAGAGAGCCAATAGAAGGCGGCTGGTAGACACGCCTTTGCATTGACATCGGGATTGATGATAAGCTCCATGGAGAGGAGTTGATTCGACTTTCCGTTACCATCACCTTCGTCCCAGTCTTCAAGGGTTGGCGGGAAATAACAAAGCAGGTTATCCATGCACTGGCTGCGAATGGATTCGACATCGTATTTGCAGACAATGCGTGTTATCCCGCAGGAGGTTATTGGATCGATGACACTGATTGCACTATGTGAATTGCTAAGTATCAGTTAAAGAAACTAAGATGATACATATCCAACACATACTTATACAACTCATGGTAGAACGCATCTAAGGACACCTTCCAATCTGACAATTTGTCGTACTCCAAATTCATGACCGGGCATCCGTCTTGGGATTGATCCAACCCATCGCTCTGAAGGTTTTGGACCGTTACAACAGGTAATCACGATGAATATTGATAGCTATATCCTCGACGACAATCATTAAACTTCCATCCTCGAAATAAAACAGATCATCTTTGATAATTTTCTTCGGGTCGATCGAGAGATCAAATGCGGGCGTTAAGGCTGTGTTGATGCTGTAGACGTGGACATTCTTGGGGTGCGAGCGAAGAGGAAGACAGTGTAGGGTTTCAGAGATATTTGTAGCCCCATAAACGTCAAAGAAGACAATGGGATAGTGGAATTCCGCTCAAAAGGAAGAATCGCTTGTGGCAGTTTTCTTTGTTTCTTTGTGGAATGAGGATTTTGAGAGACAAAGAGAAAGTTCCTAAGATTTTCTGAGCCACGAAAAAGCACCATTGTAGCCGGGGTACAAAAACGATCGATAATACAGCTAAGTTTATATTTCATTGAACTAGATGACCGTGGAAGGCACTCACGGAGGACTTTCAACAACACGTCCATGCGGGTTGGACAAACGCGCTCAAATACAATGTTGGGCGGAGTTGCGGAGCGGTGCTTTCGATGATTGAACAACGTAATTTTAAGGTGAAGAGGGAGCGTCTCTGGTTGCTAGTAGGCTGCGATAGCACTGCTCCTCAGACTTCAGACGTAAAGTTAAAGGTTTAAACGTTTGAGAGCTGCCTGCACTAGATAAGTTGGATCGGAACAAAGGTTGACCAAAATAAGTATAACTCACAACACACCTTTGAACATGATAAGGCGAACTGCATTGAAACCGGTCGTTGCCAGTCGAGGAGTCCCGACAGAATCATTCGGAATTCGGATCTGAAGCTAAGATTATTCCTGATTTCTTCTACGCGGCGGAAGTGAAACCGGAATATGCAGCCTTCATACGATTAGGAACACGTAAAAGGGCACAGCCGCGGTGAAAGCAGAAAGTTCAAAGCAGTTCAAAATTCATTTCGTAAGCGCTGTTTCAGTCTCCGATTGAAACAGCCGTGTTCAAGCCGTGTTCATCGGGTGTCGTTTCAGGCGTAAGGTTCATATCCTCTTCGTCTTGAGATTTTCATGAAAAAGAAAAGGAAACTAGCCCCACGCGGAGGTCGAACCCGCAATCTTGAAATCCATTTATAAGAGTCTCACGCTCTACCGATTGACCTAACAAAGTACTATGAATTATCGTTCATCGCCTCACCTCGATCGCATAACATCCTTCGAAGTCAAATACGAAAATATGCAAAAATAGCAACTCCAGGTTTCGATCCTGGGACATCAGGGTTATGAGCCCTGCGCGCTTCCGCTGCGCCAAGTTGCTTGATACTTTATCACTGCACCTTAATGCAACACTCGGTATATCCCCTTAGAATATTTCCTCCACCTAACGCGAAGTATATCTCAAGGGTAAGTAAGTTGAAAAATATCAGAACGTCTCACTTCAACTTCTACTCTGACGTGACGTGCCCCGTTACTCGAAAAGGGGAAGAGGGGGGTATTTGGGGAAGCCCCCTTTAATCGGGGGTTTCCCTCCTTCTTCCTAACCACCTTTTCTGTTTTCTTTAAGAACCCCTCTGCAGAATCTCACAACATATTCTGGTAAAATGAAGGCTCCTTCGAACCAGAACTCTGCCCTTCCGGCGAACGGGGATAACTACGAGGACTACATCGACTATCCTCAGGATCAGGCTGAAGCGTCCGACTCGCAATCGCATCCCGAGGATGAAGTTGAAGAGGAGAGACCAGAACCGATCACGTTCACCATACCTACGGATACTACGAACATCTCATTGGAGCAAGTGTACATTATATTGTCGCGTCTACCGGCGGAACAAGGAAAGAAGGCTGTTTGGAGTTTAGTAAGGCCTTTCTCGCAGTGTGTTCAGAGTGTCGCTGACTACATATATTATTCACAGCTTTGCTATGTCTTGATTAATCCATTTGACTCAGTGGCATTTATTTTGGCCAAGGCATGCCTGCAATATGCGATTGTGAACCACATTGTTCCCGAGGTTTTGCACGAGCCGGTGTATGAGGGAGCGTCCTTTACAGCGAGGTTCCTTGCCAACCAGGATCATGCTATCAAGCTTAGGCCCATGGAATTATCGACTGGTTATCTCAACATTGTACATATGATTCAACAGTTGTATATCGGTGGAAAATAGGGAGGTAATCAGTCGCATAATCCTGCCGGAAGAAAAGAAATATTTTTTATACAGTGGCGCAAAAAGAGTTTTACTACTACTGATGTATCGAGTAATAGTATATTAAAATATAGCTGGTTTTACTAGCCACCGGCATCCAATATAATACGGAGTATTCACCCAGCAACTTGGCGCAGTGGAAGCGCGCAGGGCCCATAACCCTGATGTCCCAGGATCGAAACCTGGAGTTGCTATTTTCACCAATTGTTTTACTGACATTTGTTTGGCTATGTCACGGTGGCATTGCCAACAGTACCAGGTTGCCTCCCATGTTTCAGTTATGGTTTCTTTGCCGTTGGATTCCTGCACAACTTAGCCTCAATGTAATCGTTTAAATGAAACATTATAACCATTTCTCCAACCAGAGTCCACAGTATAGTGTGCGAGACCACATCAGGAAAGTTGGCAAATGCTATAGTTGATATTATAGTGGATTATAACAGCTATAGCGCCGTTAGCTCCCATATTTTGTTGACACCTTCAGACGCCTCGCTCGAGCATTCCTGCGTATTATATAAATATATTTTCATTCGATAAATTGGTATTATAAAGTAATATCAACATTATCTCCCTGCTGAATGTCGTCTACGATGGAAAGCTGCTATGGAAAAAATAGGCGCTGTGGTCAGCTTTCCTGATGCCGGTCTCAGCCACCAACAAGAAGGCAAGAAAGGGTCATTTAATTGAATAGTTACAAAGCCCTGACGAAAGAATACATAGTAAACAAGATAAAGACGGAAACGCTTAACCCCAAAGACCGGGTGTGGATGCCTGATACCGTGCTCCCTTCACCTGGATTGTATCCAAGATCCCATTGATTTCGGCTTTTTCGTCTTCTGTAAGGGTAATATCGGCAGCCTGGAGGTTCTCAATCGTACGACTCGCTTTGCTAGATTTTCGGTCAGAAGTCATATTTGAATGTAAATTAAGACACCAAACGTACGATGATCCTGGAATAGGCAACATATGCGGTCCCAGTGACCGTACCCAAGCGAGAGCGAGCTGACCAGGGCTGATGCCCTTCTTCGCCGCGATCGTTTTCAGGGCGTCAACCAGTGTGAGGTTATGCGGGAAGTTCTGTGAATATGTGAGAATCGATGGCGTGGATTAAAGGTGGCTTATTTACCTCTGGTTTGAATCGTTCGAGTTGATGACGCATGTCGCCCTCAGGGATATCTTCAAGCTTGGTAATTTGGCCAGTGAGGAAACCACGACCGAGAGGACTGTAAGCTGCGACAGGGATATTCAATTCCTTAGCAGTGGCGATTACTATTGGATTATGCTTCAGTTCCAGAACTTGAAGGATATAGGTTTAGATTCACGTACCTTTCCGGGTTTCTTCTTCATAAGAGAATGGAGAAACTTCAATCTCAACGGCAGCAACAGGGACAACGGCATTGGCGCGGCGAAGCGTTTCCGCACTGCACTCGCTGAGGCCGACGTGACCAAATTTACCTTCTTCGATAAGCGTCTTCATGTTGTTCATTGCTTCCTCGATCGACCTGTTAGGGTCTACACGCGCGGATTCGAAGATATCGACGTGCTTTGTTCCTTCAAGCTTAGCATTGATATTGTCGATCGATTTGCGGAGGAATTCGAGGCTCATTTATTATGAGAGATGAGGTTTAACTAAAAGATAGTCATATAAATACCTTGCAATTGGTCCACCACCATTTGCGAGATCGACACCTCCCTGCCCAAACTTAGAATGCATCGTCAATAGGTACTTAAAGGAAGACATACCTTCACTGACAAAACCGTCTTGTCGGCATACTTGGGGTATCTCTTGTAAAAGCGTGCAAGCAATTCAAGATTCGCCGTTGAAAAGTTCTGGCCGTAGAATTCGCCTGATTTGGGCTGATTTAGCAATAATCGCTCGCGAGAGTTTGAATAACGTACCGCTGTTTAAGAGGACTTTTGCTCCTCCTGCAGCATCAACACCTTTGATAATAGCTTCAAACGCTTGCTCATCGGATACCGGTGTGGGTGTCCATCTTGATTACCTGATAAGCACGCCAAATATTGAGAAAAGCAAAATTTCCAACGTACGTCATAAGCATAAGGCCATGCCCTATCGCTGCAACTTCGATATCAGTTCCACCAAGGCGTACGGTTTGCACCATTGTCGATATTGTAGAGTTGGAAGTCAGTGAGTAGTAGTGTAAGTGACGTGAGGATTGGAAGCTTCCTTTAAATACGTGCCGCGGCCCGCCGGCAATTGCCACTGATCTCCAGCCGAGCAATGACGCGGTATCATAATTCCCACGATGGAAACCTGTCATTCCTTTACTCTGCCGTAGGGATACGCAAGTCAAAATACACATATGATTAGAGATTCAAGACAAGCAACGGAATTGTTGGGTGGGGTAGAGTTGATATTACTAAGTATGGAACTCAGCGTCTCGGTGGATCTAGGCAACACCCGCCGAATGAGTCATAACCTGTGACAAACAAGCATTTAGACAACGCAACACCCCCTCTTGTGACGTGTGATGTTGCCTATGAACGCGCGATTACAGTACATGTTCTTTTCTCGGGTGAATCTAGGCTCTCAAGAGCTTGAAGCTTGAAGCTTGAAGAGTAACAGCGATCCAAATGCTGGGTCCTCATGATAATTATTCCTACTTTTGTTTCACCACATTGACCATTGGAACAGGGAATCAAAATCACCCCGATTCAGCAAACTCGCTTTATTCTTGGACAAGTTTCATTCACAGCGTACAACCAGCCGAGTTATTCTTTCATCCTCGTTATATTCTATTCCGTATATTACTAAGTTCTGGTTACTTTACCGCTCCATTTCAGTGCTTATCTAGTGATGACCGAATACCTCATGCGTTTGCGTTACTCTCCGGGTGCCGCGGTCTGCAGTCGACCTCATCTCACCACAAGGTAAACAACGGACCCGGAAGTGTTGGATGGGGAAATGGTGATTAAATCGATGATGGGATTAGGTATCATCCAGATGTATTTGGCGTCCTGCTTTTCTTTTTATCGTTGAAAGCGAGTATGAAGGTTAAAAATAGACTATAAAAAGAGTAAAATCCATCCTAATCCAATATCATCATCATCATAATAGGGAGTCAAAACCACTACGAGTCAGCTTCGAAGTTGAAGGTTTATTATTAGCTGATGACCTATTCTCCTTTCAGGTGGAATATCTGGTTTGGCTCTCTTGAACAGGTAGCATCGGCGGTCTCGAGGCCGACCTTGAAAGGCTGTTGCGGAATAGCTAGAAGTTTACGAATTACCAGCTGATCATATCGATTACCTTGAATGGTGTGTCTAAAGCTCATCCTGGAAAGATTCAGTTATTTATTTCGGGTGGATATGTATAGCAGAATAGAGGAAACATCGCTCTTTCATCAAAAACCTTAAACAATCTGTCTGGAGGAGATAAGATACTATCCCTCCACTAGTTACTGCGCAAACCGACCTTCTCATTGCCGCTGGCTCCAAATACCCAATGAATCATGTAAATATTTCATAATCTAATAGAGTATTACCTTTATTATCATTTCTATCTGGAAGATCATGATTTTGAGCTGAGTTGTGAGATGCCGCAACAAACCGAGCTTCAGAGGTAGATTCCGAGCAGTCCGGCTGTCACATGACTGGAACACACAGCTCCCTATGCTGCAAGGGGGTTAGACCAACGCAACGTGGCACACACCGGCATCGATTCGGCAGATCTGTAATTCATCGAAAAGGCATATTCGGATATAGTATTGAAATGAGATAGCGGTCAAAATAAAATTCGAATATGAATCAAGTACCACTCAAAGTCTGATACCTGCTTCTCGCAGGCTTTGATGCCCTCCAGGAAAGCAGAGTATTGCACCTGAGGTTGGACTCATTTAATAAAATATGTAGAGGGTATATATATCCAAGTGTACGATTTTTTTCGAGAATTAGATCCCACTCGGATCGAGCAGGGTAGAAGGTGCGTGTTACTAGTGGAGGGACATTA